AGCAGGATAAAATAATCTTCATTTATTTGAGAAATAAGGATTAAAATTGAAGGCTATACGACTGCATTTTTAAATTCAGTCCTTTTATTCATTTTTTTATAGTTACGCAAGTATCACCTGTGATACATTGTATGTTTTAATGAAGATGCATGTGAATTCTGACTCTTAGTCCCATGATGCTTAATTCAAGTGAAATGAGAATGCTATGACTAAATTAACTGTTAATTCAATATTAAAATACAGGTAAACTTACCTTAGCAATTACCACTGACTGAGCTGGGTAACAAACAGAAACTCCTAAAGTAGTAAGTCCCAATGGATAAGCAATTTTCTTAAATCTAGAATCTGTATAAAGCCAAATATTTCAAATAATTAGATACTCATGAAATGTAAAGCTAAGCAGCTGTATCAATTAAATGCAATCGCTTAACCCCTAACCATTGCTTACATCAAACTTATCCCCATAATGGCTGGAGGAGAGAACACAGAGTGTAATTACAGTTTAGTACAGTCACATTTACAGGAGATACTGATATCCTGAACACTGGCTTCTTCAATGAGGCATAATCCCAAACTAGATTTTCCAGTATTGTGAAAAACGAGCAGAGCGTCTGTGTCACTCGGGGCTGCCGTGGCTCTTCGCGAGCTCCACGCGCCCTCTCGTGAGGACACGGATTGCAGAGTTTGGAGCAGCCCGGAGCCTGCAAACCGGGGCCTCTTTGTTCCAACGCGCCAACGGCTGGGCCAGGCTCAGGATCCTGTCTGCTGACGACAGCCCTGATGACAGATTCTCAAGCCCCAGTCTTTCTTTTTAAACCTGTCTACCAAAAAGTAACAGGGATACAAGAAGAATGCTTTTACTAAGCTGCCAACGTTTTGATTAACCCATTTGTGAAATATTCAGATAGACACACACTCAGGTATCACAGATTAACATTTGCTGAACAGTAGCTTCTAGCAGTTTAAGTGTTGTTATTCTACGACTTATCTTGAAAGGAGAATCATAGAATCATCTAGGTTGGAAAAGACCTTTAAGATCATCCAGTCCAACCATTAACCTACACTACCAAGCCCACTCTAGACTAATCAAGGGTAGACTAGACTAAACCATATCCCGAAGTGCCACATCTACCCGTTTTTTAAACGCCTCCAGGGATGGTGACTCCACCACCTCTCTGGGCAGCCTGTTCCAATGCCTGACCACCCTTTCCGTAAAGAAATTTTTCCTAATTTCCAGTCTAAACCTCCCCTGGCGCAGCTTAAGCCCATTTCCTCTTGTCCTATCGCTAGCTACTTGGGAGAAGAGACCAACACCCACCTCACTACACCCTCCTTTCAGGTAGTTGTAGAGAGCGATAAGGTCTCCCCTCAGCCTCCTCTTTTCCAGGCTAAAAAAGAAGAAGCGGCTGTATCTATCGAATTACCCTTTTGGCTTCAAAGCTGCCGAAATCATGCCTTCTGATGTGTGTTATCTTGTACCTGTGTAGCCAAATGCCACCATTTTTCAGCGTCTTCCCTCTAAATTCCCTTAGTTTTCACTATATTCAATAACCTTACCTATTAATTTGTTTCCAATTTCCTCCCATATACAAATTGTTTCGGAAAACCAATATGAACAAACTCAAAACAAGTGTCCTATTTTGAATTTCTGTTGATTCCACCATTAAAAACTGCTACATAATTCTGCTCTATTTGTTAGCTCTTAGCCAGGTTCTAAAAGAAATATTTAATAATGTCCCTTCAATTTATCAGGAAGGATTTTTTTTTTTTTTTAATACTAGTTACATAGGGTTTTGCCTATGTTTCAGAAAATCTTTTGACCGTTAAAATTACTACATGCTACATATTCAACATACCAATAATGAAAATAAGCAAAAAACCCTACCTTTTCTTGCCAGCACTATGCCAGCTAAGCCTGATATTGTAATTACACCAACTTTGGGAAGAAATTCTGGTGGTGGATTCTTCAGGTAAACATAAGCATCTTAGAATTAAAAAGAAAAAAAGAAAAAAAAAAAAACATAACAATTCACTTTAATCCTTTTATTTCCCACTTAAGAAATTAAGATGGAAGTAAAATTATGAATATCCAAAACTGAAAACAGTCCACGACTGGATTTTTGTTAATGAATGAAGATGCCTTATTTTCCAGGTGCACACAGAACCAGAATCACAGTCCTCAAAACACAGCAGCAAAGTTAGCAATTTTTCTTCTTCGGTACTTTTTTACATTTTGTAAAATGTTAGTCCTTAATAAAGGAAAAAGAAAGCATAGTTTTAAGTTTTGATTTTACTGTGAGTTAATATAGATTAAATGAGAAAGCACATAGTTTGGAGTCTCCCAATATACTATTCTTAAGGAAAATAACTTTCATCTGTAGTTTCTGGTACTGAACCTGAACGCAAATACTGCTTGTAACTTGTGCTAGAATTAAGAAGCTGTTTTTATAATTAAGACAGGTTGTAGAATTTGCATCAGTGGAGATGTTCAAGCCCTGACTGGACAGAGATCTAGGCAACCACCTTTGGCCCCGCTTTAAGCAGGTGACTGGAGTAGACAATCTATAGAGGTGCCTCTACAGAGAGATCTATGGATCTATAGAGATTCCAACTTCAACGATTCTGTGATACTACGATTTTAAGAACAAAGCTAAAATCAAAGGAATGAGAATATTATTTCATTGGTCATTTCTCTCACTTGAGAACAGAAATGAAACTCCATGGTGAATTAACAGTGGTCCCCGTTTTTTCCCCCCACACTTGCAGAAAGTATTCCGGTGCCCTCCCCTCCCACTCTTCCCCCCTGTAACTAGAATTTGCTGTTTCAACCATCTTTTGTAAGTCACAAGGAGAAACAACAGAAAATGCTCCGTTCAGAAATATGACTTGCCTACCTTTTCCAAACTGAATTGAATCCATTATTCCATTTTTAACAAAGACAAAGGCATCCTACAAAAAAAAAAAAAAAAAAAACCACCAAAATAAATGTAAAAGCTTTGCAAAAGTAGATGTTTTCAGTACAAAACTACTCAGTTGATACATACGGCTCAGCACAGCGAGACCAAGAAACATTATGTAACTTTAAAAAAAAAATATCAGAGAACTTCTACAGAGACTGTGCTGAGATCTATCCCCTTTGACTCTCATATTTATGTTTTTAAAACCTCCATCCATATTTAATTGGAAAAAAAAAATCTCTTTAATATAGTAAGATAACTTTCAAAATTGACATCTCGGGAACAAAACCATAGGGTAGCAAAACATCTGGACGCCAACCATACAACATAAGAAAATTCAATTATAAAATACAATCTCCTCTTCCCTACAGAGACTCAACCAGTAGAAATGGCTTTGTCTTTTAGTCTGTAAAAATGGTGCTCGGTTTCGCTGAAGATAAGCAATACTGATTTGGTCTAAGATGCGGGCTCAACTAGTTTGCATTACTCCCTTCAAATTGGTCAATTTACTTAATTACAAGCTTTTCTTTATCCAGAAAAAAACCTTTCTACTAGCCTATTATTAGTATCATTGTCCTCAGATTGCTAAAGAGACTGAGTGCATATACATTCCTCCGGAGATTAATGAAAGAATGTCGTCTTCAGTTATTTGACGGAGAGAATTCGTTTGCAGTAACAGGATTTGTACCACCAGAGGTCACTGCCAGTCAAGCTCTGAAACACTCACTTGCTGAACAAGGGCATGGAAAAGTTTGATACAGATTTATAACTAAATTATTTCAGTTATGCAGTCACTGACAAAATTTTCACAGACCAATGGAATCAAATTTTACAGAAAATACTGGAAAATATTTTTATTTCCTTGCCTTTTTCAAATAATAGGGTCTATTTCATAAGAGAAAAATGCAAGCATAAAATTTCTTATACTAACAAAAGACAGAGTAAAAGTTGTCATTTACCAGCAGTTAAGAGAATGGTGACAGGCATCGCATTTTCTTCTATGCCTAGAATATTCGACACCAGAGTTGTGAGGTGGTTTTGGTAACTAGTTAGTAATAGCCTGCTTTCACAGTTATAGTGGATGCACTCAGTTTGTCCTTCCTGAAGCACCTCAATCGGGTCTTTTAACCTGCCCTCTAGAGGCAGCTCGCTCTCTCCATGGACTATACCCGGAATTTCAGACTCAAAAAGGCTATCAAGTTCTGCTAGCAAGAAGCCACCTATGTAACTCCTGCTGCAGAAGTCAACCGAGAGATATTTCTGAACGGGACACTGTGGGTTGGCCTAGATCCAGTTTAGCACTGACTGAAAGGGACCTCTGTGATATCACCGCCTCTTTGATTTGGAAAACAAGAAGAGCGCACAGGTTCCCCGTGATAAGCACAGCAGAGAAATACGAGAGAAGGGTTCATTTTTGCATCCTAAAGTATAGGTCTATGGTAATACAAGGAACTGCAAACAAATTCTTCAGAGTGAAGCATGCTGTATTTTCAGTGTTTCAGTTGAGTGCTGTCAGAAATTGCAGGAAACTTTGGATGCAGGTATTTCTTACTTTGCACCATCCAATATAGCGGCCAGTCGTCTGTCTTACTGAAGAAAATTGCTTCTGCAAGAGACCAGGCTGTTCTTCAACGTATTTCGATTTCAGAGGTGGTGGGCAGTAAATTGGAAGCTGGAAAGGAAAGCATAACTGTACTGCAGGGAGACAGTTTTGTATACCGCCTAGTGTTTACACCGAACAGCGTTCTTCCGGACTGCAAATCCTCAGCGTTCCCATTACAGCAAACAAAACCTCTATATCGAATTATGTTCTTCTATATTTACAAACTTACTTTACGCAAGGGTGACTACAGGTTAATTCTTTAGAAATGAAAACTGAAAGTATCGTGTAGGTTCTAAGAAGTAGAATTACTGAGTATGATAAAATATCTTTTATTCAGAAAAAGCATGAGCAAGAATAGCTGGAAGATGCATGCATGTATTACTAGGAATTGTACAATAGAAAATTACTATTATTATCAGTAAGTACACTCTTTTACCTTTTCTGGCTTCAGTCTGGAAATAATGTACTAATGAAAATGAGAGAAAACTTTACTAGCTATTGTAACACTTCATGTTTTATTTGCGCTACAGCGGTCAGTTATTTAGGAGGTAATTTTTATTACCACATATTACTTCGCTATGTATTTTATTTACTGGGTAATATAATTCAACGGAAAGAGATGGTATTCTGCAGATTTTTCTAGTATTATTTTAAAGACTGACAAACAGTGAGATTCTTACCTGATTTGGCTTCATCAGCTGACCTTTTGATTCCTTTTCTGTTGCTGCATATACAGTAATACATGCAAATGGCAGACCAGAAGAAAGAGCTGCCAGCTTTGCCACCTGGGACAGACAGATGAAAAAAAGGAAGTCTTAATGCAGAAATAAAAATTTCACTCCAGTGAAATCTGGATTTTCCTATTGTGCTGTGCTTGATCAAATATGGGGTTAAACAAGTCACTTTTAAAACCTTTTTAAAACAGTATGCCTTTTAGGAATCTCTTCTGTCTTATACAGAGATTTTCTCCAATTACAATGCTAAAGAAAAAGCTAGAGGTCACTGACAACAACAGTTAAGTCTAAAATATCAGGAAGAATTTTGTGTTCAAAGCCATGTTGATGCTTCCATCACCCCTTAAGGTAAACTAAGTTCTAATCTATTCAACATACAGGTACTCCAAGTCAGTGAACAACTCTCTTGTTTCAGCAAACGCACCTCTATTTACAGGAATTTTCTGTGAATGCCATCTCCTTTCCAATTCAGAGAATGGTTCAACTACTGTCTGTTTGGAATAACCACGTATCGACAATAAATGAAAATACATAGTGATAACTGGAATGAAGAATCACCTGCTTAACCTTTCAAATCGCATATGTTACAATGTAAATTACAGAAATATAGGTTTGGTCACGGGAGTTTGATGTCTACTTAGAACATTAATTTGGAAAAAAACACCAGATATTACACAAAGCTTAAACTCAAATACGGCTTCACGTGAACATTTTTTAAATGACTGCCTTAAGATTCCAATCAGAGTTGGCATACCATGTATTAAAAAACTTGCCACAACATGTTGAAGCATCTGCGACTTTGGTAGATTATGGTTTCTTCTATATCAGTAAAGGCATTTCTGTTCTGTTCTTCACCTGAAGCATTTTTGAAACTTTAAAAACGTGAAAACAAGTATGAAAAACGTTCCCAGGATCTGCATAGAAAGGATGGTGGTAGAGTGCCAGAAAAATAGAAAAGCAGGGAAAAAAACAACTTGATTTTGGGAAATACTTTAAATCCCTAGTATAAAACTCTACTGTATCCTCATTGTTATCTTAGCTTTCAATGGGCAATATCCTGTCAAAGGAGTGGGATTTACTCCATAGCATTTAGTTATAATCATGAAAACACAATGAACGGGAAGGAACGCAAAAGCACCACCCTGAATTAGCTCAGGTTCACGAGACATCAGTCACACGCAGATTAAACTACTCGAGACAGCACAACACCATCACTTCTAAAGTAAACCGCGCGATCATCATAACAAAATTTTGAGATGGTACAACCACAGCGAAACACGAAGGTGTCGGAGAACAGAGGAGGACGCCGCAACGATGAGAGGACTGTTACCAAGGAAGGGGCAAGCAGACAACGCCAGAGCTGAAAGCTGTAGGATGAAGCTAAAAATTATTCTTCAGTTGCACTTCTTGGCATGGGGGCACTGAGGGGAGGAAGGGTTACTTAAGGCTGCCCTACACTAACAGTCTTTAGCAGCATACAGTATTCCTGCTCCTAACACACAGCCCGTGTGTCCCTCCCCTCTCCCTGGAGCATGAAACCTTCTTGTCAGCGTAATTATCACGCCACCCTAGAAGCCTGCTAGTGCCTACTATTTCCTTCATGCTTTTCTTCAATATAGAAACGGTAGGAAAGTGTGTGGGACTGAGCTCATTTTGCTTCGAGAAACAGAACCCCAGCACTTTTTTTCTCTTCAGGCCAAGCTGATGGTACAAAATTTTTGTACCACAGCGATGTCAGCTGGAAGCATCAAAAACCCCCGCAACTCCAGCACAGCTAGGCTAGCAAATCCAGCTGGCAAAGCCAACACTCTAGACACAATCACGTTGACCATGATGTACTTACTGTTCTCTTAACGCACACGAGGGACACCCCAAAATACTTTCCCTTTGCAGGTGGACGTGAAGTATAACAGGCCTGGGGGGCACTGCTGCAGAACCGCTAGGTGCGGCTGCCAGACGAACGCTGGGGATGCAACTCTCCCCGCATCGGGAGCCCCAGGCAGGGCAGCTGGGGACAGCGCGAAAGCAGAGATGAGCGAGCTCCTCTTCGCGGAGGCTGGCAGGTGGGGCAGCGACGCCAGGGCAGGAACCCGAGACAGCTGCTGCCCGTGCCCTCACCTGGGCAGGGCGGGTTCACACGCACCGTGCCGCACACAGCTCCGGGAGCACGCACCTCGCGAGTTAAGGCAGCAACACGTCTGGATTTGGAGTGGGCAGGAGGGGGAGATACCTGTCCTGGTTTCGGCTGGGATAGAGTTGATTTTCTCCCTAGTAGCAGGCACAGTGCTGTGTTTTGGATTTAGTAGGAGAAAAATGTTGATAACACACTGATGTTTTTAGTTGTTGCTCAGCACTGCTTATGCCGGTCAAGGACTTTTCAGCTTCCCATGCTCTGCCAAGGGCACAAGAAGCTGGGAGGGGGCACAGCCAGAATAGCTGATCCAAACTGGCCCAAGGGCTATTCCACACCATACAACATCATGCCCAGTATAGAAACTGGGGGGGGTTGGCCGGGGAGCCGCGATCGCTGCTCGGGAACTGGCTGGGCATCAGTTGGCGGGTGGTGAGCAATTTCATTGTGCCTCACTTGTTTCGTATATTATTATTACATTGTTATTATTATCATTACTATTTTAGACAGACTATTTTGGTATTTAGACAACACCAAAAATCATGTTACTAAAGAAATGTGGTTTTTCCATGTTGACCTAGCTATGCTGGCAAGCATGGACCCGGTCAGAAGGCAGACAGAGGTGCTACCCCTTCCTGAAATCTAGAGAGAAAAGTCCTACATACGTAAAAATACAGCCATGCAGATACCACGCGTATTGACCAGCACTGTGAAAAAGCTCAGCTAGTCACATGTTGACAAAGCTCAGCTAGTTGCATGTTGACAAGAAGTTTAGCATAGAAGAGCTGGAGCCACAATGATCTAACACGCTTTGTACAACTTAGGTTACGAATGCTATACCGAGGAGTACTCCACGTTTTTCCTTTCAGTGCCCAACATGACCACCTCGGAGAGAGAATCACCAGCTGTGGCCCAGCACAGCAGAACAGCTCTCCCAGCGCTGAACTGCCCCAGGATACAGAAAATAGGCGAGAGAGGGTGGCAATAATCAAAATAGGAACCAATTAACAAAATAACTGTCTTTCTGATAATGTTGCTTAGAGCAAAATGCCACAGCCTGACCTACAAAAGATTAAAGGGACACCCATCCTCCAATGAAAGTCTGTATTTTTAAAGCATTATTAAAGGAAACTGTTTCAAATGTACTGTAATTCAGACAGCCTGTTTCAGTACATGACGCTACCAAGACAACATAGCAATATTCAGTAGATACTAGAAGGAAAATAAAACTTAGAAGTGAGAAACCGTGAAAAAGTTATATTGTTCACTTAACAAATTCGATTAATTTGTTTGAGAAATCCACAAGGGAGTTTATTGTGCTAAATGTAAAAGAGAAAGCTATACCAGGAACGATGAAAGCAGTCCAATTCCTGACTGACAGTAATTGCTTTACTTTTGGACGCTTGAAGACAAATGCATAAATGTTTAAAAATCCAAGTCAACAGCTGTACTGTCTAACACTTACACTGGCACAATTATTCCAAGAAAGTTTCACTCTTTTCTATTGATATCACAAAGAACCGAGGTGAAGGAACAGCAACATCACCTTGACTACATAAAAGACGCTTCACTACCTTGAGTCGTCTGTCCTCTTCCTTTATCTAATGACTAGGTATATTAAAAATACCTCAGTTAGCTAAGTTGCTGCTTCTTATTAAAATTACTTTATTTAAATTACTTCAAAGGATATTACGTATTAAACAAGGAAAATCTGCTGTTGTTTAGCTAAAGAAATTAAAAGATATTTTGCCTATGAAATCTTCTAAAAGAAGTTATTGAGAATTAAGAAATGGCAGGATCATATAGTTATATCAAAGACTAGGAAAGAAGTAGGGAGAAAAACATCTGCAACAAATTTGAGCCATAAGAAATGCCAGAATTACACGGGCAACCAGTAGAATGACTCCAGAATGTCAGTCGATAACCGATTCAAACAAACAAAAAACCCTTCTCTTTAATGAATTCAGGAAATATTTTAATTTACTTTTTTTTTTTAATTGGAAGAGTTTAATTCAATATCTGCTCTGCATTTTACTACTAGTTCCACTCCTATCTGAATTAATGCTCTGACCTAAGCCCAATGAAACTAAAAAAAGAAAACCTCGCAGTCCCTACCGGCAACAGATCGAAATACCAGCAGTTACAAAAGCCAGGAGCCCAGATGACACCTTCTGGAGATGAATTCAGTATGAACATAGATCTAAACATCACCAGAATTACAGACAGAAATTACCAGCCTTAATGCTCTCCATGGGGGAAGGTCAATGGCAAAGGTCGGAAGATTTCCAGTACCACCACCGCCACGCTACCCACACTGCCATCGCACTGCAACAGGTACCACCAGTAGGTTGGTTTTTTCACAGGCATGAAAAGCACACTGGTTATTTCAAAGCACTAAACGGTGTAGACTAACAGGCATTATTTTTGATGAAAAGACTGAACAGCAATTATTTGCTGAAGAGATTTATTATACACTCTCTAGCAGAAAATCGTTACAGCTATATCTTCTAATAGTAGATCTAGAGTAAAACTAATCAAAATCTAATAATAAAACTGTCAAATGTACCTGGATAATTTTGGCTTTAAGTCTTTGCGTCTCAAGCAATCTACTTCAAACTGTTAGCATCTTGTCAAAGATCAAAAAACAGATTCTATAAAAAAAAAGTTAAAAAGCTACATCACTACAAAGATTCACTATCTTCAACTCAAAAGATGCAGAATACAAACTAAAGCATAATAAAACCATATATTTAATTTATGCTTATCTCCAAGAAGTGAAGTATTTTTTCTCACTGAAACTGCAAATTCTGTATACTTGCTTCAAGAAGTGGAGCACAAAAACTTGCCCTGAAGTTAGGAACAAGCCTCAAAACAGAAATAATCAAAGGAGCAGGTTACACGCAAAAATGTGATGCGTGTGTATATATATATAAAAATATATATGCCTTCTCTACCACAAAATCATTATCTACTAGTCAGATTCAAACAAGATTAAAATTTTATCAGCTACTGCATGTCGTATTTTCAGTAGAGAACTGTCACTCAAAGAATAAGCAGCCCGGGTTTATAGTTTTCTGCTACCACTTAGATGTCTTGAGGTAGAACAGAAAACCGTCTCCAATCCTTTTGATTATTTTTCCCAGAAGTTACATGAGACATGACAATTTTCAGAAGTTTCTAGGCCAAATCCAGTATTTTAATTTGGATTATGTATTTATAAGTCTCTAATGACAACTACAAAAAACCCACACGAGTGGAACAGAGCATCCTTCCACTTCAACTCAACTTACTGACACGCCGCAGATTTGTTTTTAATCTTTGTCTGCCAGATGGTAACCCATGGAGAGTGAAAACTTAAGAATAAAAAAACTCGATTAATTTTTCATAGTAAATAACAAAGAACACACGTAAAGTTGCATCACTTCACCAAAGGCACTGAATCATTCAGATTTAGGTACTAAACCACACTGCTTCAAGATCACGCAGCCACACAGCGAAGCCAAATGCAGTTTCTTCTTTCAGGTACTCGTAACAAACTGAGGTAAGACGCCTCATTTGCATTCCTTCAGCTTTCCTCATTTGCGTCACCTTTTCTTTGCAGATACAGACACGTTTTAAATGCTTTGCAAAAGTAGATAGGAAGATTCACGGGAGAGCAACCTATTCATCGGCCGACTGCGAAAACTGGAACACTGGTCTAAATGTTTGAGAGAAAGCCTAGCACTTCACAGGCCCATTCTTCCCTGTTTAAAGACACGATTAACTCTACAGTTAAAGATATTTTAGATACTTGTGACCCTGTCAGTTTGGAACAGCGTGATTTTAACACCCTTGGTTTAGTGACGCGTAGCACTACTACCCTTCACAACGCTACCCCAAAGCGGTCTCGACGCTTCGTCCCTGCAGCGAGGAGCGGAAGGCGCTCAAGAAGCGGCAGGTGGATGGAGGAGAAGAAGAGGAGCGCTTCTACGCCCTGCCGTACAGTTTAACCACTCTCTTGAAGCAGCTCCTTCCCCCTCACGCCCTACACCGCGGAAAGCAACACCGAGAGCTCTCGCTCCCCTGCTGCTCCTTCCCCTGCACGCCCGGCTCCGAGGGCCGGCCCCGCTCCGAGGCACCGCGCCCTCCGCAGCCCCGAGGCTGGAGCCGGGC